TTTTTGTATTTTTTATAAATTTTTTGTGATACAAAAGGACTGAATTATAATACATTGCTACATATTCAGTTTTATTATTAGTGATTTTTTTTAATTACAAAAAGTTATTGGAAAATAATTATATTTTGTGGTTTGGATTGATAGTCTTATATATTTACATTATTTTCCTATATAGGGACTTAGCTTTTCATATGAGACCCTAATAAAAATGGTATTGACTGCAACTAAAGTTATTTGCAGATCATTGGCTGTAACAATAATAACAATTAGAAATTCTTTATAAGTAAAAGAAAGGGGTTAATAAGATTATTGTAATTTTAATATTAACTATTTCAGCTATTATTTAATTTGCCTTTATTGGAAATGCGCTTCATTTATCTAATATAGTAATAGGGCTGATTGCATATATATGAATTTTATTGGTGACCTTTTATGATAGGATTTAAGATTAAATTGACTATTTAGAAAATTAAAATAGTAGTAAATTAGTAAATTAATAGGATTACGGATGAGTGTTTCACTTTTTAAGAAAAACAATATTATTAAAGCATAAATTAATAATTATTATAATAATAATAATAATTAATAAGTATAAAAAAAGCAATAAAATAATAAACAAGTAAAAAAAATTCATATGAAACATATTTATGAAAGATTCGCGAAATTTATGCTTGGAATTATTATTATTTTTATTATCACAGTAATTAAAAACAAAAAAAACTCAGGATAATAATTAATTTTTACGTTTTCAGAATAGTTCTGAATTTCTCGTTTATTACTATTAAATTAAATTTAACTATAGGTAAAAAAAAAGCTAAAACTTTGGAATTTGTAGATTTAATTATAATTGTATAAATTATTGTTATTTTTAGTACTTTACGAGTTTTATATGTAAATTATAGATATATAATATTTTATTATTTTGTTAAGTATATTAAATTTTTATTACTTTATTTAAAAATTATTTGTTTAAATTATATAAAATAAATTTAAATTAAATATAATATTAATATTTTATATTTAAATATTATATATATATATATATTTGTTTTTAAATAATTTTGTAATTTAAAATATTGAATATAATAAATAATTAAATTTGTAAAAAATTAATCATTTAATAAAAACAAAACAAAATAAAATAAAACAAAATAAAACAAAACAAAACAATTAATATTGTTTATTTTTATAATAATATTTAAAAATATTTGTTTAAATATATATATATATCTGAATTTTAAGTAAAAAAATAAATTATAAGTATTAAGTAATAATAAAAATTATTAATTTTAAAAAAATAAAAAATTATTATATTTAAAAATAAAATAAAAAATAACTAATTTTAAATTTAAAAAGTTTATTTTAAAAATTAAATATTATTAATGTCAACTTTTTAAAAAATTAAATAATTTCGATTATTAATATATAATAAATATATTATTAAAAAAAAAAAAATCTAATATATTATAAAATAAACTTTATATCATTTTAAAATATAATAAATGTTTAATATTTATGTTAATATATTAAATTTTTTTACTTTTATTTAATAGGAATTTTAGAAGAAAAAAAATATTTATATATTAGTATTCATTGCAAATTAAAAGACAATTTTTTTAAAAATATATATAAAATAATTAATTCATATTATATTTTATAAATATTAATTTAAAAGAAGAAACTAATAAAATTATTTAAAAGAATAATTAATAAATAATATATAATAATTTTAAAATTGTTATTTAGTTTTTGTTTAAATACATATTAATTTAAAACATAAATTATTATTATAATTTTTTTTTTTAAATTAAAAAAATAAATAAACATATTTATATATATTTTTATGCATACACATTTAAATATATATAAATTATAATAAAATAATAAATATAATTAATATATATTTTTTTCATAAATAAAAAAAACATTTAAATACAAAAAATAAATAAAACACAACTAAAAAAAATAAAAATGGCTTACTGTTCATAAATTTAATAGTAATATTGCCTTTTAAACAATCATAATTCTCTAAAGCAAATAGTATGTTTTGATTAAAATTGTAAATAAAATGGACTTGCGTGCGAATTTTGTATTCGAGATAATCATTAAAAATGCATAAAAAAACTATCTTTGGAATAATATCTCAACGAATTTTCAAAAATAATAACAAAATCTCAATAAGAAAATACAATAGAAAAAGTATAATGTCTAAAGGAAAATCTAGAGTCTAAAATTACATAAGTTTTAACTGATTTTAAAAAATTAGAATAAATAATTCAACATTATTTAAGCTAATTAATTAATTTCTAAACAGATTTTGATTAAGAATCTGAAAGATTAAAAGTAAATATAAATAATATATTCATATATAAAAATATATTTAAAAATTTTATTTTATTTAAATTTTGAAAAAATAAATAAATAAAAAAAAATCACATGCTTTATTTTATTAATTTTATTTATTTTTTTTTTAAAAAAAATTAAAATTAAGTAAATTTATAAAAGAGTTGTTTATTTTTCTGATTTATATAGAAAAAAGCAAACTGAAAAACTTAATCCATTTGAAATAAACTAATATATAGAAGATTCTTTATTATTATTTAGTGTTGACAATTCTCTCGAATGTTAAGTCTAAAATCTTAACAAAATAAGAATAGATAGTAAATAAATCATAAAAGATTCCAAATTAATTCTTAAGTTCCAAAATGCTCAAAACTATACAGATTTCTTACTTAGAGATTTAGATAAGTTCTAATAAAAAATCGCCTAAACAATGGAAAATTTTTTCCAAGACCTTAAATATAATATAAATTTAAAAAACAAATAAGAATTTTTAAAAAAGCAACTTTCATATAAAATATATGAATAATATAATAATAATTAAGATAGTATTTGTTATTAAATAAATTAATAACCTTTTGATATAATGGAATTAATATAAATGAAACCTAAATCAATAAAAATAATTTAATAGGCAACAACTCAAAAAATAGCAACAATTAGAGATATTTCTTATTCTACTACATCTTTATTTATTACAATAACGGATAATTATATGTAAGTTTGGGATTATAAAAACGTAAAAAAAAAACAAAAAAATTAAAAAAAAAAACAAAATAGGGTAAAAAAGTAAAACAAATACCTGGAATAAAATATGGAATCTTCATTTAAAAATACAAATATATAGTATGTAGCGAAAATTCAATAATAAAAATAATCAGTGTATAAAATTACAAAACCGTCAAAATTCTAAAAAGTTAAAATTATTAAATTATACGGTTAGCATATGATGAATAAAATGATATTTTGTATTCCACTGGAAATACCGGAAATATCGAACTTTGGAATATAATGACTGGTAAATATATTTATTGTATAAAAGAATCAAAATCGTAGGTATATTCGATTACTTGTGCTTAACTAAATAGCCATAAATATTTATATTATGGCGAAAAAACAGGCACTGTTAATATTTACGATTTAGAATTAAATTAAATAGTTAAAGAAAATAAACTTAATGATTAAGTTTTTTTCCTTAAAACACTTAATTTAGGAAATTAAAGATGTGTATTAGTCGCTGTAGCCTCATAATAAGTAATTATTATGGATGGATGTACACTTAATATTATTTATTCGAAAACTTTTATTGATTATATTAATTCGGCTATGATTGTATATGATACTTTGTTTATTAATATAGGATCCTAAGGATAACTTTTTTTAATGAAAATAAATGAAGAGAAAAAATTTCCTCTTGTTGAGGTAAAACTTAAATATTGCACTGAAAGATATGCCCTTTGTTGGGTAGAATCAAGTAGAATTATGATCTATAATTCCAAGGCTACTAAATAAAATAATTATAATAATAATAATAACAATAATAATAATAATAATGATTAAAATGCATTCAATAATATTTAATTACCTTGGAATAATAATGAATATTAAAATGGAGATAATATAGTTATATGCTAATATTGATTCTTACTTTTCTTTTTATTTTAATTTATTGAAAATTTAATCATAAATTATATATATTATTACTTTTTATTTAATTAATTAAATAAATTATATAAAAATTAAAACTAAAATTAAGTATTTTATTAAAATATAACTTTAATTATTTATATATATATATATATATATATATATATATATATATATATTTAAGATATTTTTTATGGCTTTTAGATTTTTTTATTATTTCTATTTTTTTAACTAAAAAAACAAAATAAAAAAAAAAAACAAGTTATATAATTTATGAAAAAATTGCAGAAAAGATAAAAAATTAATAAATAAAGCAATAAATTTATTATTGTTAATATAATATATCTATTATATATAATGCTTTTTTTTTATATAAAAATAATATAAAATATAAACTATTATAAATTTTTTTTTGTTTTAAAGTTTTTCTAATTAAAAATAAATAAAGATTTAAGTTTAATATTTATTTACTATTTTTTTTTATATTTATTATCTTTTAAATTAAAATCTAAAATTTTTTATAATTCTTTTGAGTTTGTTTCTTCGATTATTTGTAATATTTTTTATAATGATATTTATAATTAAAAATTAATTATATACACAAACATTTTAATTTAATCATTTCTTATAAAATATGAAATTTTATTCAAAAAGTATATTTATATTTAATTTTTTGATTCTATTTTTTAATTTCATTCTGTTTTTTAAAAATAAAATTTCTTATTTCTATATTTGTAAAATTAATATTAAACAAATCAAACTATATATGTATTTAATCAAAATATTAATTAATTAAATCATATAAAAATAAAATAAATATATATATTAAAAAACACATATTTAACTTAAATTAAAAAAATAAAACATTTTTAATTTAAAAATGGGTAACATAGGTTAAGTATGTAATTGTTTTGATTAAGGTTAAAATGGTTAAAAATCAAGTGTTAATTCTAAAAATATATCATAATAATAAAAAATAGAACAACAATAAATTCAGTTAAGTAATTGTTCTGATTCAAAAAAATCAATAAATGCATCTAAAATAAAATAAGATGAAAAATAATAAAAAAGGAATCCCTACGAAGTAACTTTAAGTGATTTTATAACATTAAAAGTAAAATAAATAAATATATAAATAAAAATCATATAAATATAAAAAAAAAAATTAAAAAATATTTTTTACAAAGTGTTTAGCTAGAGGTTCTTTTGGAAAAGTTTTATTAGTATAACATAAAGATACTAAATAACATTATGCTATGAAAACATTAAAAAAAGCTGATATTATAAATAGGAATCAAATAGAATAGGCATTAAGTTAAAAAAATAAAAAAATATTAAATAATAAAATAAAAAAAAAGCTGAAAAGAAAATATTATAATTAAGTGATCATCCATTTGTAGTTAAATTAAAATTTGCTTTTTAAAATACATATAATATTTATTTTATTATGGAATATATGCCTGGAGGGGAGCTATTTCATCATATTAAAACAAGAAAAAGATTTTCAGAAAAAACCGTTTAATATTATAGCTCATAAGTAATTTTAGCCTTAGAATACCTTCATGAAACACTAAATATTGTTTATAGGGATTTAAAACCAGAAAACATATTAATGGATTCATAAGGAAATATAAAATTAAGTGATTTTGGGCTAGCAAAAAGTTTCTTTATAATTAATAATTATATTTATAGTTATTTTATAATTAAATAAATAATTGTTCATAAAAAGGTTGCGCTCAAAGTACTTATAGTTTTTGTGGAACTCCTGAATATATATCACCTGAGATAATTAAATGTAATTTATATTATATATATTATCTTTGTCAGTATAATGTAATAAACTATGTATATAATATATATTAATAATAAAATGTAATAAAATGAAAAAAGGAAAATGGAGATAATTTATATACTTTTATTATTTATTCTATAATATTTATTATATATATTATAAATTATCTTCTTCTTTTATTTTATATTATTTCTTTTCATTTGATTATTACATACATATAAAACTAAATAAATAAAAATTAAACATAATTTTTTAAGAATTTTATTTTAAACAGAACAAGGACACGGAAAACCTGTTGATTTTTGGACATTAGTAAATTTTTAATAAAAAATAAAAAAACAAAAATTACAAAACAAAAACAAAAACTAAAAACATAAATTTATAAAATAAAAAAAATATACAAAAATAATAAAAATTAAAAAGGGATGTTTTATATATGAAATGATTGATGGTCGCCCTCCTTTTTAAAATACTTCTAGATAAGGCTTATATCAAGATATATTAGAAAATAATATAATATATCCAAAACATTTTACAGAAACGGCGAAGGATCTTTTAACTAACTTATTAGTTACTGATGTATTTTTTTTCAATAAAAATAAAAATAATTTTTTTTTTTAATGAATAATAATAAAAGCCGAATTAAAGACTAACTATAAAAGAAATTAAAAAACATTAATTTTATAGCCTTATAAACTGGGATTATATGATGTAAAAAAGATATGATGCACCTATAAAACCTGTCTTAAAAGATTTTGGTGATACTGGCTATTTCGAAGAAGTTTTATATATATATTTTAAATATTATATAAATAAAAATAAAGGCATCAAATAAAATATAAGAAACTCCCCAAAACGTAAAAATAACATAGAATGATGCTTTCGATGGTTTTACATACAGAGGAGTTGAAATAACATAAGTAATAAAAGAAGAGGAAGAAGAAGATGGTAAAAAATGAAAAGAAAATTTTTTATAGTATATATATATATTTACCCTAAAAACAAAATAAATATTTTTATTAATAAAACTTATTTATTTCTTTAAAAATTTCAATCAATAAAAGGATAATGTCCTTCCCAATCCTAGGGAGCCTCAAAATTTAAATCTTACATAAATTAAAGTTTATTTTAAGTAGGTACATCATTTGGTTTTAATTATAAACATTCTTAAAAGTTAATTTTAGCATCAGCCCAGTTTCCAATTAAATATTAATTGAAAGCTGTATTGTATTTATCAAAGAAATTGAAATCGAATTTTTTAATAAGAAGTCTTAAATCTTTATTTTTTCTCAAATAAGTCTCAGCATGAAAACATTTTTGTTCAAGAAAATTAATAATTGTTTATTTTTTAAAAATATCGAAAAGTTTTCTTTCATTTTTACTAATATTTTAATTTTATTCTTTAGAAATAGGCATATCATCAATATTCATATCAATAGTATAAAATCCAATAGGCTGTATATAAATAAAATAAATATATTTATATATACTATTATATATATATATATTTAATATTTATATTTTTATTAATTTATTTTAATATATATATTTTTATTTTTTTATATCACTTTTATTTATCCTCTTATTGTCACATAATCTACTTATCTAACGAATTTCTTCATACTTTCAGAAAGTTAATCAAATAAATTCGATGAAATTAATAAAGGAACCCCATAAGCCTTTGTTGCTGCTTCTAATCTATTTGACATTCCAACGTTTGGGGATAAATAAGACGCATCAATTTTAAATTCTGAACCGATAGCTCCTTCTATACTCCATCCAATATGCAAGCCAAAACCTATTTTAACTTTATAATTTTGCATTCTTTTATTTAATCTTTTATCTTGTCTATAAGCAAGGATTTTAGGTTCTCTGTATAATTTTGCATGAATTTTCATAAAAGAAATAAGAGCAAAATCTGCGTACATACTTGCTTATTCTAAATCTATGAAATGTATTTCATTATCACTTTTTATAATATATTTATCTTCTGGCAATTTCCATACAAGTAAAAAGGCATCTCCAATATTCTAAAAATTATTTTTTAATTTAATAAAAAGTAAAAATAAACTAAAAAATAAATTAATAATAAAATAATATAAAAATTTTAAATATAAATAAAAAATATTATTATATTTAACTTTGTTAGCAGCACCCATATATCTATCAACCATTTTATGTACAATTTCTCCTATATTATTTACAAAAAGCATAACATCTTCCTTTATTTTAATTAAATATATATATATATTATTATTTTAAAATTATAATACTTATAAAACTTCGGTTGCATCTGTAAAATTTCTAATATCACAGAATCCATAAATCCCACTATTTTTTTTACCTTCAATCATTGGGTTAATATCTCCTAATTTAACCATATTACTTCCTATAATTTCACTTCCAGCTTCACCGAAACCTAAGGCTAATAAAGTACCAATTTTAATTATAGCATTTTCAATAATAGTAGTCTCCTATTAATCTTCCATTTAATCATTCTTTATAATTTCTTCATCTCTAGCACTTATTGGATTTTTGGCGATTGAATTTACTTTATTAATCATTCTTTCAATCGGCCTTAAAGCTAAATCATCAGCATCTTTTGAAAAAAAAAGTGCTGCCATTGTTAAAAGCAAGCAAACAAAAATTGTTCTTCCTAAAGAAAGCGCTGCAGTTAAAAATGAAGTACTCCTGGCATTTAAAAAAGCTTCAAATTATAAACTATCTTCATTCTAGCTTTTTAAATATTCTATCGTAGGAAGATCCCATGGATGGCTTTTTTGGTAACTTTGAATATCCAAAGATAATGCATATGGAGTTTTTTCATTTTCCCTTAAAGTTTCAAAAACAGGATCTTCGAATTTTTCAATAAAATTAAAAGGTGTTTATAAATAAATAATAGGGTTTTCAGAATCTTTTAGAACATTAATGACTCCGATAAATGTTTGTTTAATATCTTCATGAGTAGATTTTTCATCATATATTAGTACGGCAAATTGATCAACTTAAAATTCTAAAGAAGAAGGTAAATCGAAAAAATAATCAGAAGATAATAAAGGCATTGTAAATAATAATAACAAAACTATTATTATTACGCGTTTTGTTGTTAAATCTGAAAGTCTTTTACTTACTCGAGATTCTTTTATATTTTATTCGTTTTTCTTATTATTTTTTTATTTATTAAATATTAAAAAAATATTTATATTTTATAAAGTACTAATTTTTTTAATTGTTTGTCGTCTTTTTATTAAATATCTATTTATAAAGAGTTTTTTTAATGCTAAATATTATCTTTAAAATTAGAAGAATCTTACATTTATAATTCTAATTTTTTTTTTATGATATGAAATTATAAAAAATATATAATAATAATATTATTGTAATTTTTACTAATATCTTTTTAAACTAGAGTTTATGTTTATAAAGGATCATCTTATTTTACAACACCACTAATTTAAGAAATCAAATATTTTTGTTATATTTTTTTCTTCTTTTTAGTTAATTAAGATTCTTCTGATTCATCTAAGGATTTATTTTAATCTTATGTAGCTTTATATAATTTAATAATTCTAATAAGTCGAACAAGCCTTACAACTCTACCAGCCCTATTTTATACAAAAAAATAACAGATATTATATTATATAAAAATTATAAAAAAAATATAAATGATAATAATATTTATACAAATATATTTATATATATATATATATATATATATATATTTATTTATATTTATATATATTATTACTTAGTCCCTATTCTCGAAGCTCTTCCTGCTCTTGCTAATGATGCAGTACTAGCAGCTTTTGAATTAAAAATAAATGAATTAATTAATTAAATATCTAATAATAAAGAAGCCGTTGAAATAATGTCTAACCAAAAAAAAAAGAAAACTAATATCCTGGTTTTGCGAATACACTAAAAACAATTTCTAAAACAAATATAGCTAATGATATTATATTGATATAATCAAATATCATATCTTAATCCTTTTTATTTTTTTTATTTTATATTTTTTTTTATATTAACTTTATCAAATGCTAAAATTCTTATATCATCTCCAAATAAAGCATATATTGTTATTACTGTAATTATAAAGCTAATTACATTATTTTCTAATAATTTTTAAAATATCTAGCATCTTTGATTTTTTTCCTCTATATTAAAAACATCTATATTTTCGCCTTATTGATTTTATATTTGTATATTTTTTTCTTCTGATTTTAAACTTTATTTAGAATTTGTTACTATTTGTTATTATTATATTTTGGACGTTATACTTGGTTAATATGTTTAGCTTAATTTTTTATTTATTTATATGTCGGCTGGAATATCTATATTGTTTTTAAAAATACTTAGCTTTCTTGGTTTAGGATTTAATGAGCTTATCATATTTTTTTGTGATAATTAATCAAAAATATAATAATATAATTAATTGCTTGTTATTTTTTTTTATAAAAATAATAAAAACAAATCAAAATTTAAATTATATAATCTAATACAAATAATAAAAATAACAAATATATAAAATTATTAATAAAAATATAATAACAAAATTCTTTTTTTTAATAATAAAATTTATTTTTATCATTTAATTATTTAGAATAAAGTTGATTAAAAAAAATATTTATTATAAATAACAATATATACTATATGCATATTCTTTTAATGGATTAAGATTAAAATATTCACCATATTAACAAAATATAAAAATATATCAAAAGTTATCTCTTAATTAAATAAAATTCATATTAAACACTTTAAAAAATTTAAGCAAGATTAAAAGATTTAAAAATAATTTAAAATTCACTCAAAAAATAAGATTTTACATTACCAATTCCCATAATAAATAATTTTTTGAAAGATCTTAATAATATAAATAGACAAATTTATCAAAAAAAAGACCTATAAGTGTCTTTAAACTAAATATGTTATTGGCTAAAAAAATCGATTCTCACTCTTTAAATTAATTTTAATTTATTTAAAATATTATTTTAATCAAAAGAGAGTATATACTATAATTTAAGTTTTATTCATATTTCGATTTTTGTTTTGAATATATTTAGTAATATTAATAATTAAAAATAAAAAAATTAATTATAATTAAATGATGATATACTAAAATTTTTAAACTTATTTTTTAATATTTAAATATTTGATTATTTACATACCTGTAAAAACTAATAAAGCATCATTAATATATTTTATAAAATTCTTAGAAAAATAGATTTCTATAATTTTATTTATAACTAAATACAAAATATTAATTTTTAATAAAATGAAAAATACTTATAAATGCTTGTTTCTATTTCTCTGTTTCCTTTAATTTTATCTTAAAATTAATAATTTTTTTACTAAGAATTTATAAATAAAATGCTTTCTGATAATAATAATCTTACATTAAATTTAATAATAAAATAAATAAAACTAATTCCTAAAACAAAAGCAAATTAAATATTTAAAAATTTAATTAATTAAATGACAAATAATAACAAAAATATAACTATAAATTAAATGTATGTAATATTTAATTTAAAAGAATTGTTTCTTTAAAATGAAATTTAGAATATAGATAATATAACTTTTTTACTTATTGATAAAATTGATAAAATTAACTGTTTAAAAGTAAATGAAAAATAATTATTTTTATATAAAGACTTTATTTTGTTTATTTTTTAAAACCTGTTTTATTAAAAAGAAGAATAAATAAAATCAATTTTGGTTTTCTATTCATAAATAATACAAAAAAATTAAATAAATGAATAGATAAATTTATTAAATATAATTTGTTCTTAAAAAAAAATTGTTTAGAATATTTTCGAATTTACTTTAAATTTATATAATCCTTTTCTTTTAATTGAAGGAGATCTTAAATTTTAATAATATAATGATTTTATTTAATTATATTTAATTTTTTTAATTACTTATCACCATTTTTTAATTATTAATGATACTTTTGACTTAATAAATATTGAAAACATGAAACTTTTAATATAGCCTCTTATATAATTTACATATAAAACTTTATCTTAATAAAATTAACCCATTAATAATATATAATTAGCTAAAATATCAAATAAATTATTAATTGTAAATAAGATTTATATTTATAAAAAAAATTGATTTATATTTATTTTATTTTATTTTTTTTTAAAAAAAACACACAATTAGATTTTATACGAATATAATTAAAAAAAAAATTCTTAGATATATCTAAATGGTATTTAGAAGAAAATTATATTAAAAGCATTATTTTATAAACTAGCAAATAAAACTTTTAATTTATAAATACAATAATATACATCCCGTTTGCTTTACCTTTTGAAACTAAATATATTATTTTATAAAATCTAATTGAGTTTTAAAAAAAGTAAACATAAGAATCTGTTACATTTAAAATTAGAAGAAATAAAATATTTGAAGATGCCTTTAATAATTTTAATTAGGTAAAAATAATAATAATATTAATTTAAATAAATATAATAATAATATTAATTTAAATAAAAAATAAAAAATAAAGCTTAAATGTAAATAATAAGATAATATATAAATTATATTTATAAATGAATTCGGAAATTAAGAAAAAGGATTAGATTAAGGCGGTTTATTTAAAGAATTTTTAATTAGCTTAACGGAAATAATTTTCGATAAAAATTTTGAATTATTTTAATAAAATGAATAATATTAATTATATCCAAATGAATCAAGTGAAGTTAATTTTGGGAAAAATCATTTAGAAATATTTCATTTTATAGGAAATATACTTGGAAAAGTTATTTATTATAATCTTTAAATTGAACCTGTTTTTAGCATTTTTTTTTTAAGGCATATTATAGGAAAAAATAATTCATTTAAAGAATTAAAATATTATGATAAGCAAATATATAAAAATCTAAAATATATTTACTAAACTTAAAATATTTAAGATTTATAACTTACATTTGAAATTACAAATCCTATTAAATAATAAATTGAATTGTGTTTTAACGGAAAAAATATTTAAGTGGATAATTAAAATAAAAAAAAGTATTTTTTTATAAATAATGATATTCTTTTATTTTTTAAATTAGTTTTATAAATTTGTTTGCTTATTAAAAAATGACAAAAAGTATTGAAAATTAATTAAATCATTTTCTTAATGGATTTTATGAAATAATTCCAAAATAATGGCTTATGCTATTTAATGAACATGAAATTTCGGAAATAATATCAGGTTAAAATAATATTATCAATATTTAAGATTTGAGAAATAATACATAATATGAAAATGGATATACCTCTGAAAATATTTATATTTTATAGTTTTGGGAAGTTTTAGAAAGTTTGAAAAACATATAAAAGTGTCTTTTTATTAAATTTGTAACTTCTAATTCTAAATAACCATTATTTGGATTTAAAAATTTATAACCAAATTTTATTATTTATAAGGTAAGCAGTTAAAATAATTAAAAATTACCATTTTCTTAAACATGTTATAATAAATTATTTCTACCATAATATTCAAATGTACAGATACTAAAAGATAAATTATTAAACGCAATATATGAAGGATAATAAAGTTTTTATCTTAATTGAAAATTATTAAACTATAAAATTTACAACAACAAAAATATAAAAATTAAAAATTAATTAAAATAATTTGTAATAAAATCTAAAAGAAATAGGAAAGTAGTCTATATAATTAAAAATATTAAAATTTTAATTTTAAATTTTATAATTAAAAAATTGAATATATATTTATATTTTTATTTAAAATGTTAATTTTATTTTTATAATTATTTTAATATAAATGATTATGTTTTGAATTATTTTAAAATTTGTAATAATTAAGATTAATAATATATAAATTTTTATATAATAAATTAAATTTTAAATATTTTTTTTATATATATAAAAAATAAAATGTTAATCAATTATACAAAAAAATAATATATTTAATCCAATAATAATTTAATAATAAAAATTAAATAAATTTGTGAATATAAATTTGATGTCATTATAATTATTACTATTATTACTATTATTACTATTATTACTATTATTACTATTATTACTATTATTACTATTATTACTATTACTATTATTATTATTATTATTATTATTATTATTATTATTATTATTATTATTATTACTATTATATTTATAATTATTACTCTTATTGTAATTAGGTTAATTAATTTATTATTTATGCTTATTAATATGATTATTATTAACTTTATTATTATTCTTTTTATTATATTTATTGGAATTATTATTATTATATAATAATTTATTCAATATATATTTAGTTTATATTTTACATAATTAAATTATTATAATATGGGTAATCAGTTTCTTTATTTGTTCTTTTTAGAATTCTTAGATAATCACAATCAAACTTTGTGAGCATCTAAAATATTTCAAGTCTTAATATTGCTTTTTCATATTCTTCATTTTAATTTTAATTATTTTACTAATAAGATATTACATCTTTACAAAAAAATAAAAAAATATTTTTATTTTTTTTAAATTTTACTTTAAATTTCCTTTATTGCCTATTAAAATTTTTAATTATTTTAAACTTTTTCACTTATTTATTAAATTTTCTAACTTTTATATTATATATTTATATTTTTTTATGAAAAAATATTTACTTTTATTCAATTGATAAATTATAATTTTCTTATAATTCTTAATCAATATTTTTTTTATCTTAATTTAATTTTTTATTTCTTTTTTCTTATTCATTATTGTATAGTACTTATAGAGCCTTTATTTATTTTTACATTTCTTAAATTTTCTATTACTATTCTTTGAATTCTTTTTATTCTTTATCATTATAATTATTATTATTGTAAAACTCTTCCAATTATTTTTTTATTTTTATATTTTCTTAAAGGACATCTTAATTAATTTCAAACTACTAACTTTAGTTAATTTACCTTAAGTTTTCCAATTCCATATATTATTTCTCAATAATTTAATTTAAATGTTCAATTTATTTTCCAGCATTTCTTAATTTTTTATCCATATCATTATTATTTAACCTAGATTTATTCGTTTCTAAATTATAATTGCTAAAAGTATTTCTATTATTCATATATGTTTAAGCGTTTCTTTTTTTTATAATTTTAGCATCAGAACTATATATTTCATAACTTTAATTATGTGGTTTTTCGATTTTATTATTAGTATTAAACCTCGTTTTCTGATTATTATCTAAACTAAAACTACTATTATGACTATGATTGGCTGTTTAAATAAAAATATAGCCATTTTCATTAAATCTTTTATGTTAATATATTTATTCATTATTTTCAATAAAATCTTAATTCAAAATTTTATTTTAATCTTTATCAATCATTTATTTTATTTAATAAAAAAAAAATATAAAAATTAAATAATTTATTAAAAAAAAAAAAATAATGAATAGAAAAGAAATAAAATTAAAAAAATATTAATAAATTTATAAAATAAATATAAATATATTTATAAATATAATGAAAAAAATAAAATATTTAAAAACAAAAAAACATTTATTTTATTTTAAATAATATATTCTTAAATATTTTTTACTGTATCATGTATTTTCTCATCAATATTAATTTTTCCTTATTATCATAAATAGGTTCAAGTCTAATATTACTTATTTGTTAATACTTTATTTCATAACCTTTAACCACATAATTTTTTTTTCTTATTAATATAAATTCCTAAATAAAAATGAAAAGTCCCTTTTTCTTTCTATACAAAATCCTTAAATTAACTTTAAATTGTATTTTATTTATTTTCTTTCAAAGAAAAAAAGAATTTCCTTATTTATATTTGTAAAAATTAATTTCATAATTCCGTAGATTCCAAATTTTGCGCATCCTTAAAATCTCAGTTTTTCGCTTCAAATGTCTACATATATGAAAAATAACCTCAAACCAAACTTAAAAAAGAAATTATTTTTCTCCCAATCAATCTATCTAGTTTTCAAATTCCATTATATCGATTTTCTTTAAATAACTTTAATAATAATAAATGAGGTGATTTAGAAATTATTCTCTTCTTAGCTTTACTTATATATTTAAGTAACGAAAACATTCCCACTATCTATATTTAATTATCCTATAGGGGTTTTACTAGAAAAAAAAATTATCTTCTCAATTCATATGACCGTTTATGAGTTAGTGAGGAGTCCTATCTCCAATTACGCTGATTATTCCTTAATTTAAATAAAGCTTATCTTTTAGTAAATCTATTATATAATCATAAGCATGTAGTTTATATTAAGTATATATTATATGATATTTATAACTTAAATAATCAAATATATTTTTGCTCTTTTGAAAACTCTTTAGGTTTAACCTTTTCCTTGTTTATAAAACTAAAAAATTATTAGGATCTTATTTTGAGTTTTAGGAAAACAAATAAATTTGATTAATTATTTCGGATATTTTATTTAATTATCTTTATCATATAATGTATATATTTTTTTTTCGTACAATCTTATATTTTTTGAAATGTATTATTAGTGTTTACTTTATTCTATTATTTCAAGTTTATTATCTTTTCTTTATTTAAAATAAAGTAAATCTATAAATTTTATTTCGGGTTTTTTATTCGCCTGTTTGTAATATTATGGAGTCTTTTATGTTATTTTTTTTATTAGTTAGATTTTTATTTATTAGCTTTTTGAATTATATAAATGGTAATTATAAATTAATGAAGTTTAATTTGTTTTTAATTATTACATTTTTTTTTATATATAAAGAAAAAAAAATTATTTTGAGGAAAATATTAATATTTTATACTTATATTATTAAAAAAAATAATAATATTTTAGAATTAAAAATTATTTATAATTTTATAAAAATTATATTTATTATTATTATATATATTATTTTATTCATCACTTAAAATATTTTATTCAAAATAAATTTATTAAAATTTTATATGTTTAAAATAAGTATTTTAAATTACATTTATTGGTAAAAAATAAAAACTATTTTTTTATAAATAAATTAATTTTATTAATATACTCTATTAAAAATATAGATCAAAAAAAATGAATAATATAAATCTTGATAATGATGATGTAATATAATTATTATAAATAAAAGCTATAAAATTATACATAAAGGATATATTTTGGACATATAAAAAATAACCGAAACATAATAAATAAAAGACGTCAGAAGGGCTTCCTTTATAATAAAATACATAAAAAAAAAATTATTAAAAAATATAGCCAAATAAAATAAAAACCATTTATTAAAGATCTTTTACAGATTAAAAAAAAGACAAATCAATGTCAATTTTTGAAGATCTATATGAAAGAGTATTTTAAAAAAGAAAAAAAAATATATATACTATAAAAAGGCATAATAATTATAAAAAAACAAATAAAAAAAATTGAAGAGAAAAGCTAATAAATTGATCCATAATGTACATTCAAGCCAAAAATAAATATTTAATAAAGTTCTAATTATTTAGATTTTTATAAAAGAAATATGGATTGGCTAGAATAAAAATAAAATAAAATAATAAAAAAGAAGAAAACTGAAATTACTCTATGTTTATCCAAATGTACGTTTAACCCAAAAATAAATAAAAATAAATCAAAATCACCCATTAAAGATACAGAAAAATAATTATTTTTGAATACACAAAGATAATAATTTTAAAAAAATACATAATAGTTATAATATGAAAAATAGGGTATAATGAAAGCATATAAAAAAAGAGTAAATAATAAAACTAAAAAAAATTAAAAAAAAAAAAAAAGGATAAATAAAGATATTACGATTAAATATAAAACTTATAACAATATCTAAATATATAAATATGAATAATAATACAAAATATATATAAATATAAAATAATATATATTTATATATATATATATATATTTATAAATATGTTAATAATATATTATATATATCTTTTATTATTATTAATATTATATTTTTTTATTTAATATTTCTATAACTATTCTTTTCATTTTTCTGTTTTATTAAAATTAAATTTCAATTGTAAAAAATATTTTTCACAGACTTTTTTTTGCATTTATATTTAATAAATTTTATTTTAAAAATAAATTTATATATCAAAATTATTATTTTTTTCTTTAGACTTATTTTTTTCCTTTATTATTATATTAATATATTACTTTTACTAATTATTCTTATTTTTAAAAAATTTTTAAATATCCAATAATCTTTTTTTAAACTGTATTTTTTAGTTTAAAAATTACTTAATAATATATTTACATTTAACTCGGATCATATTATATGCTATACAAATTTCTGTCGTTATTCTAAAACAATTTGTCCTTCAGTTTTATTCCAAATATAGAGATGAATTGCTTTATTTAAAGGAGCTTTGTAAGCCTCAGTTATTATTATTTTGAACTTTATAAATAAAAATTTTCAATTATTTTTATAATTTTTTTATGAATATTTTTTTTATTGAAAGTTTTATTATTATTTTTAATTAAAAATTTAGCGAAGGAATAGAGTTATATAAATATTTAAATTGTTTTTATTTTACATGGTTTTTTAATGCGAAATAATTAAGTTATTTTCATTTATATTGACTTTGAAAGGATTTAAATACTTATATGAATTTTTATAAAACACTTTTTTTAAAAATAAATTGAATTTTTAGATATAAATAATTATATTATTAATTTTAATATATAACTTTAAAAATGAAAATTTATATTTTTTTTGTATATATATTATTTTTTATTATACATTTTTTATATTACAATAATTAAATAAAATATATATTTGCTTATATTTAAAAAATAAAAAAATGAATTTTTAAAAATAAGATTTAGAATAAAAATAATAATATACATTATTTAAGATTAAAATAAAATTAATAACTAAAATCCAAATTACTAAAAAGAATTCATAGTAAAATCATTAATAAAAGAAAATACAGAATTGTTAGAATAAAATGAGTTTTATAAAGTTTATATATAAAATATACAAAACTATCCTTCATAAGCAAATCTAATAGATTAATTGAATATATTAAAATAATAAAATAATCTAATTAAATAAGAAATAGAAAAACAAAAACAATAGACAAACATTTATAAAAATAAAGAGATAATATAAACACAGATAATAAAAGAGATTCAAGAAAATATAAATAAAAATAAATATAATAATAATAATAATAATAATAATAATAATGATAATAATAATAATTATTTTAATTTTATTTTTGAATTAAATATATAAAAAAATATATTAGTTTTATTATATAATAATTTAATTTTCTATTAATATATATAAGTTTTATTCTTATTTAATAAAATTATAATGTTTCTAAATTTTAACTTTTTAATTCTTTGATAATATTTTTAAGTATATTTAATTTTCTTTTTTTACACTATCTTTTTTTATTTTATTTTTTCTCTTTATAAACATAATTTAGTCATTATAATAATCTATTTATTTTTATTTTTTAAAATTATTAAATTTTTTTATTTTTATTTTTAATAAATTATATTAAATTTACCTTCTTATCAGTAAATTTTAAATTTAAATTTTCAAAATATTGGTCTATGTTAAGTAGTATAAAACATTGTATCAAAATTATAAAATTTGATAAAGTTTTAAATATATAGAATACTATATTTAAAATTAATAAAGTAAATATAATTTTATATAGTTTAAAAGTATAATCTATATTAATATGATTTTTTTATATTTTTCATATTCACATTTTTGTTAATTTTAATTATTTTTATTTATACTCGCACCTATGAATAATTTTTTTTTAATTATTAAATTAAAAAAGAAAAGTGAGCATATTAAATAGATATATTTATTTAATTTAAATTTATTCAATATATTTATATTTCTTTTATTATTTAATTTTTATATTATTATTATATAAAAATATATTTTTAATTATGCAAATAAAATAAAATTATATTTTAATATTAAATATTGAATTAATTATTAAAAAAATTGTTATTTTATTATTTAAGTTATTTAATTCACTTTGAATAAATTTATACTTAAGTTTGTAATTAAATATAAAAATAATTTAAAATATTATTATAAATTTTAATTATTTTTTTAATATGAATATTATAAAATTAAAAATAATTTTTAAAAATTTTATATTTTTAAAAATTAAAGTAATTAATATTAAGTATATTTGGTTATCGTATTTACAATTATATTTGCTAATATTTATTAGTTATAAATTCTTTATATAAATTAACTTATAGTCTTATATATTAAAAATATAAAATATCTAATATGAGTATTTTAATTTTATAAAAATTAAATATATATAATTAAAATTATATAAAAAATTTATAAATTTTTGATTTAAATGTTAATGTTTATAATAATTTTAATCTAATATTTAATATGGATTTATTTGAATAAAATTATTTTTAATATATTATTATTATTTAAATATAATTTTTAAAAATAAATAATAAAATAAATATATAATTATTAATATGATAGATATTTATTTATTTTATAATTTTTATTTATAAAATTATATTAAATATTTAAATTTTTATAATTATAAATTTTTATTTTACTAGTATTATATATGAAAAAAATATTCAATTATAAAGATTATATTTCAATTTTTTTGTTATAAAAAATATAAAAAAATTTAAAAATATGTTTTTTTTAAATTTTTAATTTATATTATGTATTTTTATTGATATTATATATTATACGTATATTAATTTATATTTTTTTATACATTAATAAAAAAATATATAAATATATGAATTTTTTAGTATATTATTTTTTTTTTTGTAAAAAAATGATTTAAATAATAATTTTATTTTATTAAAATCAAGAAAAAATAAATAATATAAAATATTATAAATCAAAAATAAATAAATATAAAATATAATACTAATTTATTTTTTAAGTTTTAAATTTTATATAAAATATAATAAATAATTATTATTTAAACAAAAAAATAATAAATAAAATTATCATCATAATAATATTAAAAAAAAATAAAAATGGACAATCCAGATACAATAGAAAGTTATAAAAGTAAATTATTCATTAAAAAAACCAATAATAATAAAAAAACTTATAATATTTCAATAATAAAAAAAAGTTGTATTAGTAGGTGATGCAAGTGTAGGAAAAACAAATCTTTTAAAAAGGTAAACAATACAAAATCAATTATAATTAATAAATAATCTTTAAAATTAAAATTATTGTAGATATGTAAAAAATTAATTGCCTTAAAATCCTGCACCAACAATAGGAGTTGAATTTGCGACAAAATAAGTTGTTTTAAAAGATGGTGTTAAAATTAAAACTTAAATTTGGGATACCGGTAATAATTATATATTTTAATTAAATATAAAACCTTTAAATTTTTTATTATATTTAAAAACAAAACAGCTGGTTAAGAAAGATATAGGTCTATAACAAGTGCGTAATATTAAAAAAAATAGATTTAGCAAATTGTATTTATCAAAAAAAATAAAAAATAAGACATTATAGAAGAGCCGTAGGAGCATTATTGGTATATGATATTACAAAAGAAAAATCTTATAGTTCAGTAACTAAATGGATGGAAGATTTGAAATATTAAGCTGATCCAGATATTGTGATATTTTTGGTTGGAAACAAACTTGATTTAGTTGAAAAGAACGAATCTGCAAGAAAAGTAAGCAAAGAAGAAGCAAGAAATTTCGCTTTGGAAAATAAAATGTTTTTCGAAGAAACTTCTGCTGTTACAGCTTAAAATGTAAATGAAGTTTTTGAAAAATTATTATAAGGTTTTTATCTTTTTTTTTTAAAAAAAAAAATATAGGATTTAATTTATTATATTATTTAAAAAAAAAGAAATATATAATCATAAAAACCAAAAAAATCATAATGGATAAGATAATGGAATTAAAATCGATGACGGTAATAAACATAATAATGGATAATAACCATGTTAATGTTGAAAAATATAAAATAAAATATATAATAAGATATTTTTATAAGAAATACAAATACAAATAACAATATAATATAAACTAAAAAATAAACAAATGCATTTTTTTTTGGAAGTGATTTTATTCTTTTGTATTCATATTTTTTTTTATGGAAAATAATATATTAAAAATAAACTAAAACATGAAATTAAATAAAAAAATAAAAATATTTAGGTTAATTTATGTTATAATTTTTTTGAATTTTAATAATGTTTACTTTTTAGAAAAAAAAAATATATAAAATATAAAATAGATATTAATAATATTATTAAAAATCATAAAAATATAATTTAAATTAAATACAAAGCATATTTATATCATATGTCAATATAAATGCATTAATAAAATTAAAATATATTTTTATTTTTTTAAAATATAAAGATAAACTCATAAAAATTATAATATTATATATTTAATTTATATCTAAAATAAGAATGTTTGCAAATAAATTATTTATTAATAATTTTATTTTTTAATAAAATAAATATTATATAAAAAATAAATTATTTATCTTATATATTTTATAGAGCTATATATAAAAATTTTTTTTAAAAATTTTATTAATTATTATTTATAAAATAATTTTTATTACTAAAAATTTTTCTAACAAAAATATGAAATGAATATATTTAAACTAAATATATACTTAATGTACATTTATAAAAAAATAAAAATAATAATATTATAAACTAATATATATATTATTAAAATAATCATAATAATTATATATATATATATATTTATAAATAAAAAAATATAAAAATATGATGAAAATACTAAAATGTATAATTCATTTTATTATTTTAATACAGTTAAAAAGCTAATAAATTTTTATTCCATCAATATTTAATCCATAATTATCAACAGAAATAAAATTATAAATAAACAATATTACAAGTTCATTAAATTGTACTCAAACCTCTCCTATAAACAAATTAAAGTACCAAAACCAGAAACCTCAAGATTAACCAAGAGCATTATTTTGTTAAAAACATAGTCACCGTTCGTGCTGTTCGAATGAAAATTTCGACTAATTAAAACTATAGTAAAAAAATAAAAATAGAAAAAAAAAAAAATATATATATATATATATATATATAGATTTTTTAGATAAAATTAAAATTTATAACATATAAATAAATTATGCTATAATTAATTAAAAGAATTAATATGTTATGATTGTGATGCTGATGTTGGTTAAGGTTTAAGAAAAGGTTTATGTTTAGAAGTTTGTGAAAATATATATAATAATTGCAAATAAGATTACTTTTCTATAGATTAAGGTACTGAATAAATAAGCATGTGTTCTAGTAATGATATTATTTGTTCAAAACTAAGCGATATAACAAATGATTCGAAAGAGTTTTGTAAATATTTAGGATATGAAGTTAATTTTAATGAGGATTATGATCATTGGTTTTTTTCGTTTTCTTTTGAACGGTCTTCAGGTTTCTAACCTGTATGTTGGAACTCAGTTCCTAGTTAGAAAATTTTTGGACCTATAGCTGTTAATAATAACAATAACAATAATAAAAAATAAAAATAAAATAATCAAAAAAATAATGAAAAATGGTGGAGAATTGCTTATTTAATACTTGCGTTTGTAAGTATTATTTTAGTTGTTGGAATTGCTTATTAGTTTATTAATAGATAATATAATATTAATTAAAAATAATCTAAAGGAATTATGATTGGAGGAGGTTCTGTTCCTAATAAATATAAATATTAGTGAATAACTAAATTTAATTGGATTTTTTTTTTTCTTTCTTTTTGATATATAATAAAAATATTTTTTGTTTCATATTAATAAAAAAAATTTATTTATTTAATTATAGTTTTTTTTTATATATTAATTAATGTTCAGATCAAAATATTTTTTATTTTTTTATAAATAAATTTATTTTTATCATTATATTATAGAATTTTTTATTAAATCGAAAATAAATATTTTGAATAATTAAAATCTTAATATATAATTATTATATTAATTTATTATAATAATATTTATTTTTAATAAATATTTAATTTTAATATTTTATTTTATTTATAAATGTCAATGTAAAGAGTTAGATTTAAATATAAAATTATGAACATAGAAAAGAAATATAATATAGTTATTTTTATTTTTTATAAACATTTTTATTATTTCAATATCAATAAATTTTTTAATTTTATTTCTTCTTAATTTTAATATAAAAAACTTAATTAAATTATTTAATCTATTTATTTAGTTGTTAATTTTAATTAAATATTTGATATTTCTAATTAAGAAAATTTAATTTCACTACTATTTTTTTAGGATTTTGTTTCATCAGTTTTTACGAAATTTAGAAAGTCAAAAAAGAAAAAAAATTATTTACAAAAATTGAAATAACTATTAGTTTTCCAAAAAAAATAAAATAAAAAAATATCTCCTTATTTTTTTATTTAAATTGTTTTCTATAATTACTTTAACTTTTTTCATTTTCGGATTTAAGAAAATTAAAATTTTTATACATATTCAAGAAAATCTTATTAAGAAACATATAATTTATAATTTATTAATTCACAAAAAGTTTTTTCTAATAAAGAAAGTTCATTTTTTTAACTCCCCCTATTTTTGCATAATATTCATTATTTAAAACTTAGTCATTATTAAATTTTATTGCAATTATACATGAAGATAAAACTAATCTATTAAAATTTTAAAAAATTAATATTTCTAGAAAAAAAAAAAAAATTAAATAAATAATACCTTAATAATGTATAAGAGTTCAATAATTCTTCACCTGTTTCTTATCTTAGTCTATCTATATAAATTATAGCAAGTAAAAAATTGACATTAGAACAATCAGTAAACTTTTTAATTCTTCTAAGATAATCTATTGTTTTTATAGGAGGTAATTTTTAGGATGAAAAATTAGGATGTGGAGCTTTTTATTCCAAATCTTTTTATTAGCAAATAAATTCTAAATACTCTACAATTACTTATAAATCAATTTATTAATCATAAGTTTCTTAATCAAAAGCAATAAAAGATTATTAGATGTCATTTTAAAAGTTATTTTAATTGTTTTATTGAATTTAACTTAAGTATTATTATTATTATTAATATATTTTTTCTTATTTTTCATTTTTATTAATATTATTAAGTAAAACTTTATTATTTGTTTTTTCTTATATTTACATATTTAGTTTTATATTTAATATATCGTATTCGGAATATATAGGTGGGGGGATAAGATGAATTTCTTATATTTTTTTTATAAGAAATTAATTTATCTAATTAATTATTTATTTATTTATTTTGTGGGGGGGATGAATAATTTTAATTTTATTTTTTAAAAATAATGAGTAAAAGCTTTTAAAAATAGCTCTTTTTAATTTTAACTTTGAAAAATATTTCATATAATTTTTTATATTTTTTTAAAATTAAATATATCCTTTTTTAAATAAAAATAAATTATATATATATTAGAACATATAATTTTTAAATTTGTATAAACATTTTATATAATAATTTGTAATAAAGATTCATTTTTTTTAAATTAATAAAACACTTTATATTGTATTAAAACATATTTTATATATTTTCTATTTTAACATAATATTTTAATATATTTAGTTTGGTTATTTTATATTCAATAAAATAGAAATTTATAAAAAACCATTATACATTTTTGAGTATACAACTATATTTTGAATACAGTAATATAAAAACATATTTTAAAATAATAATTCTGCAATAAAAATGTATCATTCAATATTTATTTTTAGTGGATTTAAATAAATATAAGTTATCAAAAAATTACCTTTTATTTAATTTTGTATATATTTAAAAAAAAATAAACACAATAAAAAAAATAAAAAAATTAATCTAAAAAAATAATAAAAATAAATATTTAAAAATTATTTAATTAAAAAATAAATAAAATAATTTAAACAATTAATACAATTAAAAACAATTAATTTATTTATTATTGTCAAAATATGAAAAATATTAATATTTTATAAGATATTTATCAAATAAAATAATTTTATTTATAAAAATTATTAAAATTTTTAATATAAAAAATAAGAAAAAAAATTTACTTATATAATATTTAAATATATATTCATAAATATAATTTAATTATTATTTTTATAATAAAATAAAAAAAATAGGAGTGTTTCATAAATTATTTCTTTCCACAATTTTAAACAGCATTTTATTGCTTTAGAAAATTTATAAATAGATAACTTAAATTTATTATTTATATTATTATATTTAATTAAAAAAACAACAAATTATTAAATAGTTTTCTACTTTTAAAGGCGATACATTAATTTATTAATATGAAATTATTAATAAAGCCTATTAAAATAATAATATAAATAATACTTTATAAGTTTTAATTAAAAATAAAATAAATCTAAGATAAAAAAAAAGCATTTTCACTTTTATAAATTTCGTGATAGAATTTTATTTCTTTTTCATTTTATAAAAATTATAACTCTTATTTATATAAATATATTTATTTGTCCTAATAATAAATTAATTCAAATATTTTTAAAATTTTAATTATTTCCAGTTTTTAAAATTTATTAAGCAACATCAATTTTTTCAGAAATAAACTTAAAATAATAAAAATTATTTATTTTGTATAAAAAAAAATAGTATGAATTAAATATATATAAAATATAAGATTAAAAATTATATTTTTTAAAGAAATATATTTATTAAAAAAATGTTTAATTAATAAAATGCTAAATATAAATACTTTCGTTTATTTTATTTAAAATAATCATTGTGAATATATTCAAAATATATAAAAAAAAATTCTTTTTAAATTATATATCAATGTTTAACTAAAATATAAAAAATAAATTTTATATTAAAAGTTAATAATAAATTTGAAAAAATATGTTTGAATTTTTAATTATGTTTATTAATTATTAAAAATTAATAATTTAAAAATTTATAAATTAAAAAAAATAATGAAATAATAATAATAATACTAATGTAATAAGTATTGACGAATATAACTAATTAATTTAAGAAAATGTTAAAATTATAACATAATATTTTATAAATTTTATGACTAAATTATTCGATT